CGGCCTCATCTCGCCGCCTCACACCATTAACACGCCATTATTACCCAGTGCTCAAAACTTCTACTAAAGACCAAATACCTACAGTAGCAATGACTACATTTTGATGAACCATTTTAAATTAATTTCCCTTTGATTACTCATGGTACATGGATGGCCCAAGGTGGAAACACAACTTTAAAAACAAAGCATTATTTCCTAGATACAAAAGATGAGATTTGTATGTGGGAGGCACGTAATAAATGTCATATGCTAGTCCTCGGTATGCATCAGTTATACTTCTTCAGTTTGGTTTAATATTAGTGTTTGCAAAGTCATATAACCATTACTATTGCTCATACTCACATTTGAACAAATCCAAGTAAATAAGTAGATGGACCTACATTGTTTGTTCTACAGATATGAAGGACATTTTTAAACTCGTGCTGCTTGAGGAGAGGCAGGATCACCTGATGATCTTGCGTCACTGTATGAAACTATGAAATGTCTTTATGCCACGACATTTATATGTACATTTCATGACATTATAGCTGTACAAGTCTTGACAGATTTTGTGAAGAAAAAAAAATATGCATGATTAATATAAAAAGTATTTTTATATATTTTTTTGTATACATAAAATCTTGTTATCAGGACGTTTTTAGTAAACGATACAATGACCAAACAAATTCCAGAGATTTAAGGTGCAGGCTCATTTCCCGTGTTTTGACTCATTTTTGTGGACAAAATCCAGGTATTTTAATAGGAGTCCACAATAATAGGTTAATTTGCATTAGGGCGAAAGATTTCCCCTTGCCAATTTCGTAAAAGATTTGTCTGTGCTTCATACATCACTACTGACAACAGACAGAATTTCATCCAAATGTTCTCTAACGTGGTCGTACCTCTACTTCAAAAAAGACTCATATCTGGCTGTTGTGAACCAATAAGTGAAAATCAGGTTAAAAAAAACTTTGGTAAAACTCTCTGAACTACCAGTACTTTCCCTTTGTGGCAATCCTACATGAAGCCATGAAGACATGCGCAACTTCCCAACTTTATGCAAAGAGGAAAGGATTACATAAAGACATTTTACTAAACAGATCCTATCACACTGGGTCAAACGTCACATACCACAGGAGTAACACCTGAGCTGAGGAACAGGAAACACGGCAGGCGAGGAAGGACTCGGGTGAGGTTCCCACAGGACGGGCTTCACACCTGACTACTGAAACTAGGTGTAAGAAACTCTGTTACATCACCGAACCTGTATTTCTTCATCTTAACATCTCTCCGACGCTGCCGTTGAAGAATTACCCAACCAGATAAACAATATAAAAAAAACTTCATATAAAAGACTAATTCACTTAAATTAAGATTTAATTAACTTTCGGTGGATGTTTCAGGTGTGAAAAAAGGGTTGCAAATACGCTCCTCATGATTTTAAAAGCAAATCCATTAAAGGTGACATATCATGAAAATCGGACTTTTTCTGTGTTTAAGTGCTATAATTGGGTCCCCGGTGCTTCTACCAACCCAGAAAATAGTTTTTTTTTTGGTAAGCCTTTCTCTGCAAGCTTGTGAAAACCAAGCCGCTCAGATTTCGCTCCCCCTGTGACGTAGAAAGGGGATCTTATTATATTACTGCCCCTTAATCTGCAAGTTTAATTGCAAATTTCTGCAATAGCTCTTCAAAAAAAGCAAAAGGCAACACAAAAGCTCGAGAGCAGAGAGGAAATAAAAATATTACAGTATGTCATAAGCATTTCGTAACGCATGACAATGCGTATACAATGGGAGCTGACGTCTCGAGACTGAGTGAGTCGTATGACCCGCGGTGACCTTCTCCCGAACCCTGGCCGTTTTTGCATTAGCGGGTGAATACGAACACATCATTTGGGAGTTTGCAAATGCCCAGAAACAATCCTGTAAGCCGGACACGAACAAGTAGAGCCTCTAGGATCAGCCTAACTCAGATCAGAAGTCTGGTTTCTGAACGCCGTGTGTATTCTGTAGTAGAATCAGAGCGTGATAGAAACCAAGACAACTCACATGACACATTGTTGCAGGTGGAGGAAACTCCTGACCCACAGTTCCCTAGTTAACAAAGTTCAGGTCATTATAGCCAGAGTATCATGATATACACTTCCAGTCAGAAGATCACTCACACTTGACTGAATTTATCATATATGTGTATATATATACACACATATATAAGCACACACACATATACACATATATATATATTAAAAAAAACACACATACATATATATATATATAAATAAATCCACACATATACATATATACACACATACACACATATATATATATATATATATATATATATATATATATATATATATATATATA